GCATCATCTCAGTCAGGGGTGATCAAACCCGACACAGGAGAGATATATGTTGGATTTTGAGAGAGTTTGATTACTCAAATTAAGGTACTAGTTGTATTCTATCTTGAAAGATTGAGAGCCCGTTTCAAGGGTTCAACTCTCGACGATTTTCGACCATGATCAACAAGTACGTAAGCTTTAGACTAGGTGGTAGTCAAGCATCTAATTTTTGACATCCAGCTGGGTCTTATCCGAAGAATCTCCTTGCGCTTCAGCGTCACTGTTTGAGGACTCGCTTGTGCCGAATTTCCGAACAACCAGCCAGGCTGGCACCAGAGATAATCCCCAGATTCCAAAGTTGATGTATGTGCTTCCGACAGCCGCGAAAATTGGGATTGCGTTCAATCCATAGCTTACGGCCTGCCACGCTGACTCGGTACCTCTCAGCAGAGCCGACAAGCGAATCGTCTCTTGGGGGCTTGACGATAGTTCTCCGATGATGAAAAATGCGAAGTTGTAGTTGAGTTGGAATCCCGAAACCAGGAATACAAACACTCCAAAGGCCCGTCCGAATCCAGGATCGCTCCAGTCGTAGATTGGCTGCGTGCGGCGGAATTCCGTGACGTTGATGGTGAGCCAAATCCACCACGCACCCTGGAGCGTCATGATGACCGCGAACGCCCAGCGAGCCCGCTTCTTCAAGGCGACTCGATGTTGATCCAGCCATACACCAAGCAAGTTTCCGGCGATGACGGCGACGATTCCTGAGATGAACGAACCGAGAGCTCTTGCCCGAACGCTGAAAAACAGCGCGATGTAGGTGAAAAAGACGGCTTCTGAGTATACGGCCTGACCAATCCAGAGAATGAGCAGGAGGAATTCTTTCCTCAAGAAAGTCTTTGTGGTTGCTTTGAACTCTGTCCATGGGTGGTCAAAGATGGTAAGGTCGACCTTCTTGCCGTCTGACCGTTGGACCTTGGACGGGTGGTTGAGCAGCAACGCGGCGAAAGGGCCACAGCATTGAAGAGCGATGAAGATCAGGTAAACGTTGTACGAAACCTTTCCAGCCTCGTTACGATCCACGTTCATCCCCAAGTTGATGGCACCGCCGAGAATCTGTCCGAGTCGAGTCCAGGTCAGCCAGTAAGCCACCAATCTGCCTCTGTTCTTGGGCTCTGGGTAACTGATTCCAATGGCAGCTTCAGAGGCCCAGAAGATGCCGGCCGAAATACCACAAAGCGCAGCACCCAAGATGACTAGCCACTCAACCCCGTACCGGTTGTTCAAGTACAGACCCGCGCTGTAGGGTGCGAAGCCGATTGTTCCGACGATGAGAGCGCCCTTGATACCGATGTACTTGACGATGGCGCTGGTGGACCAACAAGATAGCACCATCATACAGAACGTGAGTGCGTTGCCGGTGTTGACGAGATACGGCTTTTGCGCACCTCCTGCACCAAGGGAGTTCATGGCTCCCCAGAGGCCAGGTGCAGCAAAACTACACATTCCAAGGATGGTGGCATTGTACGTTGGTGAACGATACCATTTCACTATCAGGATAGTCAGTATTCAGCCATCAAACATAGACCCCCTATCGGTACTCACCGGGATGATTTTCGTGCTCAGCGACCCTTGTCTCGTCGTGTGGGGCATCTTTATCGTCGGCCATCGTCGCGGTTGATGAAGAAGCTCAACCTCGAATGCCTTGGTGGAGTGATCTGCAGAAGAACAGAGAGGGCACAGGGCAAACTGATAACCGAGCTCAGATACCTCGCCCGTATTTTAAACACTTCAATATGCCTCGATATGGATGTGATATTTCAGAGCTGGCGCGCTGATAATTATACACAGTGATCGGCCATGAGACCCGCCTTCACCAGTATCTTAGCTCGGAGCGATCACGCAATAGATCCCCGGCAATCAAACATGCCCACGAGGGGCCAGTAACACAATCACTGCAGCGATTGACAGATTACAAGCCCCGCAGTTGGTATGACTGAATTATCTTGCAAAAGGCGTGCTCCGGCCAAAGTGCCTTGGCATCAGATCTCCTAACCTCGAACAGCCTCATGCCAGTGTCCCATTTGGATATATACCCGCATTCAACCCCCCTTCACCGGCCATTTCGGCGATTTCCTTGAATTCCCGCCTGGGAGTACCGACACTACGGTGTAACATGCCCTTGAACCGGGTCCCTGGTGGCCGAGACTTTGCCATGAAGAGGTAACAATCCGCAGGTTCCGCACGCACGCCATCCGGACTATTGATCTGCGGCTTTAGAGATATTGCTGCCAATCTTGAACTCGTCTAGCTCCTGGTTTGCTTCAAAATATGTGACTCTTCAATTTCTTAGACGCGTGGCTAGTATCATTCTGGCTGCTGAAGGAAGAGTGAGATTTCTCCTTCGCAGAATTGCCGTTGTTGTTCTCTCCGGATTCTCTACTTCTGTCTAGCAGTCCTGAACTGGTCGTTTCTCAGAGGCGCATCTGGGTATATGGTCACGAAATAAAGTCAGTCTATTGATTCAAACTGCTTCAATTATCGCTTAAGCCGTCCAAACTGTTATCGTTTTTGTGAACCCCAGCAAACATATCCGTTTCGCTTTGGGCGTCACGCGCGACAAGCGCAGGATCTTTCTGTACGCCCGATACCGATTTCTATGCCTCACCAGCCCGCCACTTATACCGAGATCCAGGGTGGTCACTACTGAGTCTGCCCCCAAGTGCAAAGTCGACACCAAGGTAATTCTCTCGCGTGGTTCGACCCTCAGCCGCAACTGCATCCCGAAACACACCTCTAGCTTTTAGTTCTGGCACCAAGTACTTGGCATGATCTTCGAAATCGCCCGGGGTAATAGCGTATGAGATATTGAAGCCATCAATGTCAGCCTCCTTGACCCAACTCTCCAAGATATCAGCCACGGTTTTGGCAGTTCCTACTGCCCTTGCGTGAGGACCTCCTAGAGCAAGTTCCTGTGCAACGCGGGCTTTAGTCCACTTGATGTTTGCGCTTCCTGGAATCGTCGCACTCCAGTTCTCTACCATACTCTGCATCGCTGGCGGCCCAGTGAACTTCAAGTCGTCGTCATCGGCGAACTGGCCGAGGTCGGTGCCGCTCCAACCTCCAAACAGGGCAAGTGATCCCTCCAAATCAGCATAGGAAAGGTACTCCTCGTATTTCTCCAGGGCCAATTCGTCTGTCTCGGCAAGTACGATATGGATTCCCGCAATGAGCTTGAGGCCTCGCGGATCACGGCCTTGCTCGACAGCCAGCTGTCGCAACTCGTCGACCGTTCGTCGTACGGTGGAGAATTCCATTCCAGGCAAGAAAATGGCTTCGGCATGCTTGGCAGCAAAAGCCTTGCCCGCCTTGCTTGCACCAGCTTGGAATATGAAAGGGGTTCGCTGCCGCGATGGTTCGACCAGTGACGGGCCTGCCACTTGAAAGAATTTCCTGTCGCGAATTAGCATGCAGTCTCACTTGAGATAACACAATTTTCTACCCTTCGTGATCAATGTTTCTCACCCGATCCGGATGGGTATATTGTTTGCTGACTTCGTCAACAACAACCGCGTCATCCCTCCATGAGCCCTCAAGCAGCTTGTAGACAACCTCTAAAAACTCCTCTGCAATAGCATATCTTTCATCATGTGGTATTTGCTCTTGAAGACCCATGCTTCTAGCTGCACTTTCGAGGTAACTCGTAACAATGTTCCACGCGATGCGGCCATTTGTCAGGTGGTCAAGGGTAGCAAACTTTCGCGCCAACAGGTAGGGCTTCTCGTATGTAGTGGAGGCTGTAAGGCCGAAAGAAAGAGTCTTTGTCACTGCAGCCATCGCAGCAATAGGCAATCTTGGTTTATCAGTGATGCGCTTTGACCCGTTGCAAATCATGAGCTCCTTACTTACGATGGATCCGAGACAGGAAATTGAGCTGCGCCTGGCAGCGTTGGTTGGATATTTCTCGGTCCTTTGTACACATCATAAGGACCGAGAACATCGGCTAGAAATATTGCCTGAAAGTTTCCCTCCAGAATCTTGGCCAACTCAATCCAATAGTTAATGTCATTATAGCGTTTGTTTTGGTTCCGAGGATGTCGCCATAGCCCTGCGTGAAATGATGTCAGTTGAGAAAACTTACGGCAAATTGATCACTGAGGTGTAACAGAGAATGTGAACCAAGTACCAGGTGCCACAAAAGCCGGATTGCTCATGAAGAATGCGTTGAGAATCCATTTCTTGGATGATGGAGTTGTGTCGTCACTGCTCATCGTGATGTGAGTACTGATTATCAGAAAAAACTAGCCTGACCAAATTCTAAACGTAGAATGTAGAACTATTTAGGTAAATCAATCTACATTTTTCGAATATTGATGGACATCTTAACATTCGTTGGCCTGCCCTCCGAGATGCGGAGTCCCCCCAGCACGCCATCACACCCTCATCTTCAGTCTTCAAGTAGTCGTTGATCCACTCCGCTTGGATAGGAATGGTGGGATTTTAAGGTAATTGAGCTTTTTGCATGACAAGAAATGGGACACATGGAGGGCAAGACAGTGGCTTTGACTACCAATAGCTTGCTCAAGATTTGGGACAGGGAGACAATTAATTGACCGTTTTCTCCGATCATGGAAGGGAGACGGTCCATGTACCGTATCCAATTTGCCTTCACTTGGCGACACAACGGGAAATTGATAAAACAGATTTATTATCGACGGACGTTGGGTTGAGTGTCAACTATGTCTTTGATTTGCATCTTTCCATCCTTCTAGAAGGAGGTGCTTTGGAGCATTAGTAAAACATTAGACCATATTCGTGCTACACGCATGAAGAATTACAATGCCGAGCGAGACAGCTATGACTCCCAGTACTGAGGTTGGCTGTTAACTCATGCACCCTGCATATCAATGTATGAGCTCGCCATGCTTGGCAAAGCCACGGAAATACGGCAGATCAAACTAACACAACGACACAAAAAAGAAAAAAATGGCAAAAAAAAGATCTCAAGAGGTGAGTTGTGATAGCAATTGCACGTTTCGATCGTGCGACCTCCGGGTTATGAGCCCGGCTGGAATGAGTTAGTCATCGCTCGATTTGAACTGATTGATGGTGTAAACATACCGCGCTTCCACTGCGCCAAATTGCTTTAATGGTTGAAATCCGGTTTGAAATTGTATACTATGAATCCTACCTAATAATCGGTCACACAGAGTCTCGCCCCGACTCCCTCGAGTTTCTCATTCATCACATGGTATTGACTATGAAGCTCATTTGATATATTAGTACAAATTCCCGACCTTCAATGAAATTTATGGCCATTTGGCTTATCCTCTCGTTTCCATTAGATCGTGATATGCCTTGTCGTGCCTGGCTGCCGAAACACCCTTGGGAATGTCATCTCATTTTTCGTTTCTTGCCACTAGACTCCTGCCATCGTATTCGCCTGCAAGACCATGTCGAGTCGCTCTCATCACTAATTAAGAACTAGCCGGGAATAGGACATCATTGCGTATGGAGACGGCAATATGGCGTATGAAGATTGAATGGTGAAAGTACAACAGTATGATGCAAGGAAAGGATGCGCTGCGCCTACTGTTCCCTCCTTTTAACAAAACCAGCTCATCGAAACCTGATTATACTCCCCGATCCATGAAAGGCAATATCGCGTCGATCCAGAACACCAACACCAATCCTCTCGTACACTTGGCCGTTGGCGTCATTCCCACTGTCCTCGACACAACGCACCAACAAAACCCAGTGTGTTTGTCGCTCGCCAAAGATCTCTGGCTTGCTCTTTCCCACCACGACACATTTTAGGGGCTGGATGGATGCCTGGCTGGGTATATCCAATACGATGGATCCAGCTGGATCATTAACAAGATCCCAGACCGGTGCTTTTAACTCAAGAGATTGCCCACCAACGCCGTTGTTATCGCGTTTGTTCTCACCTAGGGCGTGTTGCTCCGTTGCCTTGGTGAAAGGCGACTCAATATCATTGCACCACAGAGCCTTTCCAAAGGGAACAGGTAAATAGCAAATGGCACCATCGTATGCCATCCAAGACCAAGAAGGAACTGGACTGCCGCGGGTTGAAGTGATGTGCTTCAAGTTGTCGCCAGCTCGCTGCCAGAGTAAACACCGGTGCAGGTAAATGTCGAAAATTCCATACCCACCTGTTGTGCCGAACGTGGTGAGGAGGCGAGTCTCGAGCCCTTTGATGGCGACGGACCGGTCGGAGACAAAAGAGAGACCCAGCTTGGAGTACCGCTCGTACAGGTCCTGGAAGAGCTCTATCTTCATTCCTTTGACATACTTGTCGGCTGAACGTGGAAAATCAGAGTCACCAAGGAAGGAGGCTTTGCGGCTGTAGTAGGGAAGTGCTAGGGTCAGTACTCAAGGTCAGGAACGATTGATGCAATGGGGTGCGTACTTCTTCATTCTGGTCATAGTCTCGCACCGCACGCCTCCGCCGCATTCCCAATACGACTGAGTCTCCGTGAAGAAGATTGTACGTCGGGACAGGGCTCGCTCTTGCATGACCCAGCCCCTCTGGTTGAGTTCGCTCAGGTCGACGTGGGCGTGAAAGTCATCAATGGCTTCACACACGTAGTAGGTTGTATCGATGTTGGTATGAGCCTGCATTGGGACATACCGTCTCTCGAGCCGTGGCTTAAGAAACCCGTCGCTGTTTCCAGAAGCGCAGCTGGCGGCGATGGTGCAGTATGCCGAGCTGAAAACTCGCTCCATCAGCTTGGACTCAGTGTCCCAGTCCTTCATGTCATCCTGAATGATGCAGACCGAGTCAATCCACAAGCGGCATAAGCCGAGGCCGCGGGTCACGTCAACAGCATCCTGGAAAGTCTTTGGAAGAGCCGAGACTTTGATTCCACCCCTGAGTATGTCGATATTGGATTTTGATGCGCAAAATTTGGCGTGATGTTTGGGAGAACCCCAACGGTGGGATAGAGCAACGTACTTCTTCGATTTAACTTGGTCGTGTCCACGGTCTAACAGCTTGACTGTCCCGTAGTCATTGTAGCTGACGTCAAGGAGGCGTGTTGGGGTGAAATCGACTTGTTCTGGAAAGCATTGGTGCGCACTGTCACAGCTGTCGAGCCATTCTCTTAGTGTTCTAAAATGGGCCGCACTGCCAGCGTCTGGCAGATTCGGGAGCCCAATCTGGATGTTCTGCAAGGAGCAAGTTTGTGGCTCTGCAAACAACCAGTTGTTAGAGAGCTGTCAAAAAGTAGCATGACTCTGCAAACGGAATCAACACAAACCTGGAATCATGTAGAGATTCGCTACTGGCTGCTCGCGACCGTCGTCAATTGTTAGATAAGAACCGACACGGGCGAAGTTGACCATTTCCTGGGGATGGACTGCTCGGCCTCTGATGCAGTGTGATAAAAGCTGGCAAAGTGCACATCCATCATCTCTGGCCTTTCCATCAAGACCTGCTGGCGAATCCGTAAATTGACACCCAAGGGAGCAAGGCTCCAAGGCACGACAACGGCTGCAAAAACTGGTCTTCTGTGGTGCAGGCGTGACGAAACCAACATGTGAGAAGCCTTTTGCAATCGCATCATCGGGAGTGTAGTCCCAGTTGTCGTTTAGCTATATAGGTTTAGTCCTGTTTCGCGGAAAGCGTACCATAGCAAGAATGTCACGTACCGGCTGCAGAGAGAAACTAGGGTGTTAGTTTGAGTCCACAAGTCACCAGTTCTTCCCTCGAACTAGCACAACATAGGCATGAGTATGAACATACGGTCTGACAGGAATAATTAGATGCGAAACTCGAAATGTCCCTAGGCGCACTTACAAACTTGCGAAGAAAGTCAATTAGTAAAGTTGGGCTTTACAGACAGCAGAGACATAACTATATCGACTCACTCTCTGTTCGGCCACAACAGAGGGACGGAAGTGACGTTAGCCTAGTCCTTTCCCTGCCGTGTTGAGAAGATCTAGCGTTGAGTACTTACGTACTGAAGGAAGTTGTTAGAAACCTAATCATTATTTTTCAGAGACTTCCGCCATGAGGTCAAACTTACGTCCTGTTCCTCTTCGTGTTAGTCTTCGCGAACATTTCGTTGGGAATTTACTGAAAGACTCACATTCTGAGGTATCGCATTCAGAGTTAGCACGCAACTCGAAGAGGCGCGCAGGCACTGGCTATCCTACCCGATTAGTAGTCCCATTCTGCGTCGCCAACCGTTGATGTGACGGCCCTTTCGGTATTTCTGTCTCCTCTGACTTCCTCTTCGCTGTTGGTTCAATTGTTCCGTCCTTCAACCCCGCAAGGATTTCTGCCAACTCCTCTCTCATCTTTGTAGCATAGCTGCGACATGTACGCAGTTTCGAATAATCGGTCGTGGGAGAATCGGTCGCGGGAGGATCGGCTGTCGCCCAGGTCTTCGTCCGCTTCATGCTACCCGAAAATTGAGGTGGTATATTTGAGTGCTTGTTATTATTAGTATCCCCATCAGGATCTTCGACTCTTTCAACCAAGAGTCTGTCAACAATCAGTTCAACTAGGCGCCTCAGAGCAGTCCCCTTGGAGCAACGCCAGTCCTCTTTGATGTATGTCACCCACTCTTTAACTGTAGGATGGACTTCAGCAGTTTTCAAACTTTTTTTGTCTGTTCTTGAGTTTGGAACTCTGAGGCTGTTGGTCTTGTTACCGGCTTCCTTTATCTCGAAGAACCACTTTGTGAGGTCTCTGGTGCATTGTTCGAGCTCGTCAGCCCCATAGAGAATCCAAATGGTGAACTCGAGAAAGATGCACCCCATGGACCAAATGTCGAACCGACGGGACAAAGTTCCCTCAGGATTTATCTCCATCTCAGGAGCTTTGTACCTATCGGTCGAGACCGTGGTTCCGGTAGTAGCGCGTAGCTTGGTCGCTTGGTCGTGGACCTTGGCCAGCCCAACATCTGTGATGACCAGTCTGACATTGAACATGGACTCGTCTCCACGGTGAACTCTTGATTGAAAACAAAGGATGTTTTCCGGTTTTAAATCGCCATGGCGACAGCCGCCCTGAGACTGGGTTTGCGTATGCAGCTCCTCAATGGCAAAAGCAAGTCCCGTGAGCTGCGTGAAAGCCCATGTAAGGAAGCGTCTGTCTGTGCTCGGTGTGTACTGTTTGTTCGTCCAAAACTCCCAAAGATTTCCTTGCTGAGCCCAAGGGAACATGAAATAATGATCGTTCTCTTGCTGATAGTAGGCGATGGCCTTGATCAAATGTTCACTTTTGAGCCCTCTCATCATTTCAAGCACGGTGGCCTCCTGCTCTGCAATCTTCCTGTCTGGATTCTTCAGCATCTTGAGGGCGACTCGAGGATTTTCGTCTCCATCTAGGGCTGGTTCCTACAGAGTTGTCAGCTAATTGCCTGGGCTGGGTTGAATTTGGGCTGAGATGACTCACTTGGTCGGATCGAAGCTCGATGTGGTCGACATGGACACTCCTCTCCTCAACCCAGCTGTACGCAGAGCCTCCATTACCCTCCTTCTCGATATTCGTGAAGGGAAGGTGCCTTTCCGTCTCAAATTTGTACCTGAACTGGTTCTTTACAAATTTGGGAGCTATGAACGCCCATTGCTGGGAGTAGAAGTGGTTGGCAGTAACATCATTCCACAAGGAATCCTCTCTGCAAATGAAAGGCCGGCCAGAGTGCTCTTTGTTGTACGGCTCGAGCTTCCAGATACCATCTTCAGTCGCTAGGGGATTCTTAATGGGAAGCATTTCCTGTGAGAACTTCTTTTCGTAGAACTGACTGATCAGGTGAGGTTCGCCAATCATGATTAGAATCGCAAAAATCTTGTACGCCTTTGTGACGACAAATTCAGCCAGGTCTGGAATCATTGCTGTGTTTCGTAGTTGCTCGCACGTCTGGATAATTGCCTCCACATCTGGCTTGTTCAACAGGGTCTTCAGCTTAGTCTCGGACACGAATCTCTGCCTTTCAATGCCAGAGGACTGAAGTATGTCCCTGAACTTCGTTCTTAGAGCACCAGCCATATCGATGCTGCTAGACACGCTCACACTCTTTGTGAGAGTTTTCGTCTTCTTTTTCATCCTTGACCCCACGGTCGATCCGAATGACAGACTGGGGGAGGCCGGTACTTGATGCTCTTCTAGCGTTTGAC